CACCAGGGGACCGTAAACCAGATCAGGATATTAGTGTGTGGGAGCCTGAAAACAAGCCCAGGTTTGCAGACTTGTCGCAGATTTAGACTGTGATAGACATTCCTGGAGGCTAAAGTAGCAGACAGAGTCAACCCTTTGTAGATAAATAAGTATTTGAAGACCACATACAGATGGGGTGTGAGATGCCTTAAGAACCGAATGCTTGTCCCGCAGAGGTAGCACACGCCTTTAATCCCAGCACTCGGGAGGCAGAGACAGGTGGATCTCTGTGAGTTTGAGGCCAACTGCGTCTACAAAGGGAGTTCCTAGATAGCCAGGACAGTTACACAGAGATACTCTATGTTGAAAAAAAAAAAAAAAAAAAAACAAGAGAAAAGGAAAGAAAAGAAAGGAATTGCATGCTTTGGGCTAATTTATAATTCCTATTTAGAAAATGATCATTACTGCTTTTCAAAGAAAGTTATTTTAAATAAAAATCAACTAAGTCAACAAAGAAATGGTACCAGTTCTCCTTCTCCCGGGCTTGGGAGGGTGAAGGATGAATAAATGTGGTGCCTCAGTGAATGGGGGTCCAGCGGAAAAACCCTCACATGGGGCAGGCTCCTCCTCTGTCTTGTGGGCCCACGACTCAAACTCAGCGACAGGAGGAGAATCCTGACTCACTGTATTCCACCAGATGGTCAGATGGTCATGGTTCCAGAGTTCTTGGTCTAACCCTCAATGTGAAATTTACCTGGTTACTTCAAGTTTCTTTCGCTATTTAATTACCCTTTTCACACTTGTAAGATTATTAGGAGATACTAAAATGTAACTAAGTGGCTTTTTTTTTTTTTTTTTTTTTTTTTTTGGATAAAACCACTGCTGTACTGATTTCGCTGTCTTTAATACATTTCCAGGGAAAGCCCCTTGTTTCTTTTGATGTCTGTTCCATAAGGAACAACTCAGACAGTGTTTGTCCACATGGGGCATCTGAAGAATACAGTCAATATTAATACAATTTTGCACTTATTTTTTTCCATATTCATGAGAAAAAAAATGTGAAAACGTCACTGGCTGCCCTGATTGCATGAACAGAAATCCACTTTTGTTGGGATAATGTCGTCGATCTTTCACTTTATTTTCCAGGAAGCTCAAGGTGAAATGCTGGACCCTTCTCGAAGCCGCAAGGTGCAGAGGGAAAGCGCTGCTCGCTGAGGAGCTGAGTCACTTGTGATGTGAGCTCATGGCTTCTGAGGTGTCTCCCAGCTAATCGAGGTGACTCTGTGGCAATCACATCCTACTACAGAGCTGTGGCTGGAAGCCACATTCTAAAGGGTCACAGTCAAGGAGAGAGCAACAGCTGGGGGACAGAGCGGTGAGGGCCTAAAAGAAATCACGTGTAAGCGGAGCTGACGGGAAAACGGAGACTATGGGCTTGGAGAAGAAAAGATTTAGGGGGACCTATTAGCTGTCTTCAGATGTTTTGAGAGGCCTCAAGATACCTAAGCAATCTGTGACAGGGTCAAAAGTGGGTAGTGTGGGCAAGCGGGTAGAGGAAGGAGGCTCTGCTTTTTATGAGAAAGATGTTTTAACAGAAAAAGTTTCAAAATGCAGCAGGCTGTATTTGGAAAGTGCTTGCTGCAGTCTTAGTGGCTACACTGTTTCTCTTAACTAAATTCCTGTGTCAAAGGTGAACAACAGAAAAAGGGGAAGCATCCTATACTTACAGATCACTGGAGCTTCTGGGTCCGAGGGAGACTTTCTATGACAGTTTACAAGAGCCAAAACGGACTTCCTTCTACACAGTTTTAATCACTCAGCTGATGAATGGATTCATTCATTCATTTTGCAGTGTTGAGGATAGAATTCAAGTGCATTGTAGAAAAGGCTGTACCACTAGGTGAAATTCCCAGCCCTTGTTACCTTCTATATTTGTCTGTGTTTTTGAGACAAGGTCCTGCTACTGAGCCAGGGTCCTGTTGCTGAGCCAGGGTCCTGTTGCTGAGCCAGGGTCCTGCTGCTGAGCTAGGGTCCTGCTACTGAGCCAGGGTCCTGTTGCTGAGTCAGGGTCCTGCTACTGAGCCAGGGTCTTGCTACTGAGCCAGGGTCCTGCTA